AGTAAAACCATAGCTCAAAGACAATAAAAATAACCTAATATGATTTACAAGGACACTATGGATCTATGGATCTAAAGTCTGAGAATCAGAACAACCTCCTCCCTTATACATAAAAGAAAAGAATTAGAGAGAGCAAGGGCAAAATTCATATGGAGGAAAATCAACCAATGACATGGAAGAAAAACTGTAGATGATGACAGTTACTTGCATGCAGAGGAAAAATAAAGAGTTTAAAAGTAATTCGAGAAACGGTGATAGCTGTGGACGACAAAGATGATCCAACATAAGAATGGTTGCTTTCTCTGCAGAGAAGACCTGAATAAATAAAAATGAAATATACTGAGTGATACGATAGACAACATTTCCCTCAAATAAAATGGCAAAAATGTATTGGCAGAATGTATTCAGGCAGAACATTCATGTCATCAGCAGGAGAAACATCCATACTAGGCTGCCTTCAGACTTTTTCTGGCAATACTCAGTGGTGGAATTTAATAGAGCAATTAGTTAACGGAGAAGAAGGGATGAACCATTAATAATATTCCCAGAAGAGATAAAGACAATAGTCAGGCACCTTCAGCATGAAATATTTCAAAGATTAACAAACAAAACTCATTAGCAATGAAATATAAGTAAGGAGGGAATGATTAGAATAATGAACTCAGTCATGAAGACGCCGTAACAAAAGGAGTTGGTGGTTAATACTGCAGCCATCTATCTGTAGAATTAAGACCAATGTGCCAACACAATTAAAGTTGCAGAACAGAATGTAAATATTATGAACTGTGACAAAGTTAAAATAATATAATTATCAAAAAAATGAAAATGAAGAGGGGTAAGGACAAATTGGAGAGGAGCTAATCACCTCAGATTGCACGGCAGGGAGTTAATGAACACTGTCTGAGATTAAAACGTGGAGCTAATGCATTCAGCTTCTTAATGATATTCATAGTCTTTTATTCTTAACCATAAAGACAATTTTTTTAAGATACTCTTGTGAAGAAATATTTAAGCTTAGCAATTCTTTCCCATTTATTTCATATTTTTCTTCTATTAAAGCATGTATATATTAATTATAAATAGCATGTTCATGCCTCTGTATTTACCCTTTTATTGGTGCAGATGTGTATTTATATAATTTGGTAATGTTTATCATATGTTAATAGCTTTTTTTCTGAGTGTAAAGATTTCGGAATGATATGTGCTTTTAACTTGAAGATGTTATAGTAAAATAATAAACACTCAGACACTTACATGTAAAATGATAATGACAAAAATGATAATAATAAAATGGTTACAGAAGTCTGAAGATTTCTATTTGTATGAATTTGTTTGTAGAGAGGAGGTTTACCAAGGTACCCGAAAGATACAGGGTCAGGAGATCACCATGTTGTGTAAACAGGAAAGAGGTTTTCTGTATTTGCCTGGCCCCATTGCTTTCTGTCTGAACTCTATAAAGAATGACTGAACACACAAGGCCAAAAACTGTCACCAAGAACTGAGCATCAAGGTTTTGAAGCCAAGTGAAAAGACTGTACATGAAGGGGAGAGCATAGCCTTACTCCCAGCCCGTCTAAAACAGAGGTCCCAAGGGCTCAAATTTTAACTTTGCTTTGCTGTAGAATTACTGGAATTGGAATTATCTGGTAGCAGTTTCCCCAGCACAGTTATCAGTCCATCATGAAGGATGCTGGGATAGGGGTCAATGGTAAGGTACCACTTAATTAAGGATCCTTGAACAGGAAAAAAAAAATTAACAAGATAACTGTTCAGTGACTATTAGATGAGGCACGGTAACACAAAAAGTTCTAGAGAATTGAATGATGCAAAATTTTGGGGCAATCATCCCTGAAATGCAGGTAATTTAATCACCTTAGTTCTCTGGACTTATAAAACCTTGGGAAATATGCTCTACTTACATTTTTTTTGAAAGAGCCTGGTGATTATTTGCCCTAATTTCCTGAAAGTTAAAAGATTCTGACCTAATGTTAAATCACGTGCATTGAAGTTTGACTCAAAATCGTACTATCATTGTTATCATTTATGGTAAGGTAACCTCAAAACCCATATCCTTTGTACTTTGCCTATCTGAAAAACTACATATGTAACTTCACAAATGTTAGGTAAGTACTTACTCCCTGAAAATAATGTTGCTAATTCTGAAATATGCAGTGAATTCTAATATGTCTCAAACACAGAATGTAATGTGTTTTTCTGTGTACTGATAATGATGAACCACTCAAAAAAAGGCTGATTTTTTAAAAGCATGAAGAAGAGAGTAAACTGTGATTTATAACAGTAAACTTCAAATATCTATACTGGTGAGAGAAGGAGACAAATTAACTTAGAGTAGAAACAGCCCATGGTTTACTATTTTAGGAGACTAGATGTGTGTGTCTGTGGGCAACTGAGTTTTTTTGACTGATAGAAATCTGTGTAATAGTATGCGATTAAACACCTCCATACGTAGGAAGTTACTTTAAATAAGAAAATTCTTTATTTCAGAGTGGCATACTAATCAACTATAAAGAAAGGGACCCACTGCCATTAATGCAGGAAAACACACACACAAACAAGTGCAAATCAAAACTGCAGGGAAAAAATTCATACAAAGTAAAATCGATACATATAATATAGTGTATTTTTCTCATATTAATTGAATCCTTATAAGTACCTTTTGAATTTAATAGATTTCCTTAACTTAGACCTACAGGGACTTTGATATATTATCAGAAAAATATTCAAATACACAAAAGTGTGTGCAAATCCTGAAATGTATAATAGGGTTTATAAAGATCTCATTCTTACTAGTATTACTGGAATTTGTGCATTCTTTCTTAACCGAAGAAGTATTTTGATACATTGCTATGAAACTCACTGTATTAATGAGAAAACTCAGGCTCAGAGAAACTGGCTGGCTTTTTAAAACAGTAAGTGGGCTTTATGGCAGAGAACAAAGCACTGCCTGCATTCATGGGCAAGAGAATCCTAACGTGGGAACTGCTGATGAAAGATATATATTTTCTCTTCATTTTAAATATTTATTTTTATGGTGCACGTGTAGAGAAATGTTCAAAGAGGAAATGAGTCCCTATTTTTTCTGCCAACACCAGGCCTCCTGTCTGTTGAGGGCCCAAGCTCCTACCTGTGTGTGCTGTGCTGGGTTTTGCCTTCACTGGAAGATGGAAAAGAGTGGGGACAGGAGGACAAACAACATGTCTGGGATGTGAAAGGGAGCACAGAGGTTTCAATCAGCACAGTGAGATTTGGAAAGGCTTATGAACTTGAGGTTGCAAACTTCCCCAGGGATAAAGGTCAGGAAGCCTGACTGCCATCACCTCCCATTTTGAAGCTATCACATCAGTGGACCCTTTCTTATTTGGTCCACTGAGGGAGTAAACACAGATCGAGTTTCCCAGGAGAATCCTGGTGCACAGCTGTTGTTAATACTCTCAAAAATGTTTCAACTGGGAAGATAAATACTACGACCTGCCTGTTGGCAAAGGGCTTAACGATCCTTCTGTTAAGTTGGATTCCGGGGCAGCCACTCTGAATTGATCTAAATGGCTTCAAGGATCAATCTTTGCTGTCCCTGGACTTATCAATGGGATCATTTTCAAAGAAGTTCCTGCCTATGACTATTCTCACCTTTCTGTGTTCAGTTATTCCTTGGTTTCCATGGATAAGCTTTCATTTCTTCAAATACTAAGTTGTTGAATAGTACCGAACACAAGAAAAAAAACAGTAAATAACTGTGATTGATGGTGACTTCCAGTAGGAGGGAAGGTGCTAATTTGGGTATGCCCACTATATTTTTCAGCGTTCATTAAAAAAAATAAGAAAACAAAGACACAACTTGTATCTTTTAAATTTAAGCAGTTTTTATAGTAAGGTCAGGTGTTCATACATGTGTCTATGGTATTATTCACCTGCCCCAAATCCAGCAGGTAAGGTGATCTCAGTGATAAATTTCTAGTACCGAGAATAGCAGTCAATACGGTGCATGTGTGAAGCTCTGAAGGTTTGTATATAATAACAAAATAAAACTTAAAGTTAATATAATTCACCTAATTGGAAGTTTTATGAAAAATAATCCTCTGTTCTGTTTTCACTATGAGATTTAAAGGAAAAAAATCACTTTGAAGGAAATGACCAAATTATGGCTTACTATGAAACCCCTTTGCTATTATATTACATTGGTAATATTTAAAGATGATTCTAGTCTAAAATAGACTTTCATATTTATGAAGTAAGGTTAATAATCTTTCCACATTTTATATAATAACAAGCTTTCTGTTTTTTCCTGTCTTACTGGATTTTCACACTTACACACATATGCTTAATAGTTTCTAGTTATATTTTTTGGTATCCAATAATACTTTCTGAAAAGTAACACACAAAAGCCAAAATGTATAATGGCTAAACTATAATCTTGATTTTTAGCATGCTGGTAAGTGATAAGATACTCGTAAGGCACACATACACACACCCGCACATTTGAAAGGATAAATATTCGTGTTTGTTTTAAATACTGTTCATCCAGAAATAACTTTAATTTCTATAGTAAAACTTTTCCTCATCTTTTTTTTTTAGAAAATGCACGTTCATTTGAGCTGAAAAGATCTATAATATATTGAAATAAAGTCATTTATTCAAGTCAATGTTTCCTGCAAAAATTACCCATGATGTATCAAGTGCCCCTTTTGAAATTACCATGATGTTGTATTTTTAACTTCTATTGAAAATAGAGGCAAATTTATAGACTAACAAAAGCAACACTGCAGTTTAATTCAAAAATGGTTCTCTAATTTGTCTGTTTCAAACTAACCTTCTCCACTGGTTTTTCAATTGTTTCCTTGTTTTCATTTCTTCAAATAAATCTTTAACTTCAGGACACTAAATACATACTGAAGAGATAAGGGGGTTCTGGCCTCCTATTTCAAGCTAAAACATAACCTCTAAATTATCTTTTACATTAAGCCAAAGCCAATGTCACATACCTTTCGGGAATGAATTTCTTTCACATACAATGGAAGTAGAAACTCAGATATACCTTCAAGTCGGATTCCCTTCTTGGTGACTCTCAGATTTCCCATACCATCCTACAAGCAACGAAATATAGTTCACTTTTAGGTTCATTAGAGAATGAATAACTGGCCATAATTTTCTTAGGGCTAAATTGAGAAAACAGTAAGCTCAAATCAGTGATGATTTAAGGAAAATGAGAGACTGAATCTACTTAATGAATGATTGCAGCAGTCTGCATGCATATAGAGGGCTCTGTGTAAAATGAAAAGACCTCGTATCTTTTCATGGCTCTATCAGAGACTAGGATTTATCTATGAATAAACCCTTTATTTTCTTCATGCATTAGCCAGTTTAACTCTTTTTGGGGATATAAAGATACTTGCCACCTGATTATTGGAAACAAATTTTGTTTGCAGAGAGTTCTAATAATATTTTTACATTACAGTTATACACATATTTCTACAATATTCAAATAGTCACATTTGTGGAATGATTTCAACAAGTACTTAATAATTGGCTAGTATAAGTAAGCATGATGCTTCTGTATTCAAATTAAGTTTATATCCTCTCCTTTAGAAAACAACACTCTATAAGGAGGATAAAACAAGTATATAAATAACACTTATGAGACAGAATAACAGGAATTTAAAAAGTAAGAACACAGTACCATGGGAATTAAGGAAAGATTTCAAATTTGATAAGAGAATAGACAATTTCTCATGGAAGAGACGAACTATGAGAAGGACCTTAAGAATATGGAGTTCCGACAGGAGATGTCCGTAGAGGGAGAAACAGAATGAACATCCTGTAATATTAAGAAACAGCATGACATCCAATCTGGCTCATATATGTACTTTATAATACTGTAAGAGAATACGGTAAGAGAAAACAACTGGAGTTATGTTTTGAAGCCAGAGAAAGGAAAGCCATGAATGCAAAGGTAAGAAGTCTGTACTTAGGTCAAACTCCAGAAGAAAAAACATAAAAGTTCTTGAACAGCTCAAGGGCTTGGAATTATCAGAGTTTTAAGCTTTAAGATTAATCTGGTAGAGGCACTATGTGGGGCTAACTGCAGAGAATCAGTAATAAGGCACAACTCGGTAATAAGTGTAAAAAATATGGTGGAAGAAAAGCCTATGAGACTGGGTGACTAATTTTATCTGAAAATACTGAAAACAGGGACCTTTATGACTAATCCCAGGTTTCGTGACTATGACTAAATAAGGAAATGTGGTGATTTTTTAAAGTGGAATAATGAATTTTGTAGGCTCAATGACAAACATGATTGTAGCTTTGGACTTTCTAACTTTGAGGTATCATCGAAAATTCAGATATTTATCCATCAACTAGCACATCTGTAAAAAGTGGGTTGCAGAGTGACAATCGCTTAAGGCATGTCTGAATCTACTATGATGGATGAGCAAGTGTTCTCTGGGGAAGGTATCTATAAAACCAAGGAGAAACTCTTAGATAATGACTAGGTCTATGGGTGGGAAAGGACTATTTCATACATGAAATAAGGGTATGATCAGTATAAGAAGAAAGCCAAGAAATTATCATGGCCCCAGTCTCTGCCACTTGCCCCTATGTCCCACCACCAAAGAAAGCCAATGATGTAGTAAAGCAAGGAATAGAATTTTGAGTAAGAATTAAAGCCCTTTTTTAAAGTCTCACAAGGAAAATGACTACTGAGAAAGGGAGAGAGATTTTGAGGTGGTCGAGCCTAAATCCTCTAATGGAAGGACAGAGTCATCAATTCTGGTTGAAATAAACTTGGGATGGGATGAAGGAATTCATTTATTGAGACTCAAACCTAAAACTGACCCTGGAAATGTCTAATAGGGAATTGACTATTTTTTTTTTTTAAGAGAATTTCAAGTTTCACTGAAGACTTATTCAGATGAGAAAGTTGATCTACTTTTGTTGGGATGGCACACCCCAGGTTCTCCGAGACAGTGCTGGCTTATCCCACTTTTATAGTGTCCTCTTTCACTTTAAAAAGTGAAAAGTGTTTCTGATTTAGACATCAACTACATCGTCACCTGTTTACTGGCTGTAATTAGTATCATTTTGCAACATCACAGCTATCGACGAACAGAAACTGGCAAAATTAACAGGGAAAGAGACTCAAAAAGGAGGATTTGCTAACAGGAATGGCAAAAGTCCTAGGTATGGGGTTTGCCAAAGTACCACAAAATGATGCCCCTCCACTCCCTGACCATCATTTTTCTCATTGGGTGGAGACAAGTAAAGTCAGTACAGCAATGTTGGACAGTGAAAAGAGCACAGGGTCAAGGAATGACAGCTGATGACCCATTAATGGTTAAATTCAGCAGGAGTCAAGAAATATGAGAAATGTTAAGATGGGTTTATCATCAGAAAATGGAACTTTGAATTTTGAGATCTTGAAGGTTGAGAAAAATTTCAGACAGCATGAAACCTAAAGAACATTTGAGCGGGGGTAGCAGAAGCAGAGTGGAGATCGAACTTTCTGTAATTCAGAAAGAACACTCAAAATGACACGTGGCTTTAAAATATTATTTTGTCCCTGAGTGATTTTCTTAACTAAATCTCACACAGTGACTGTCCACATATATTCTCAAATGTCTGCTGGAAGGAAGTGTTCTAAATGTTCCCCATGAAGTTGCTATGGAAACATCTAGTGCAACGTTTAGTCAAACTCAGAACAACAGAAATAAATTCTATCATAAACATAATTCCCAATTCACACTAATCTTAAAAAAATGTTTTCATAAGATAACCATCTTAAATAAAGTAACTGGACATCCAGTTAACTGGGATATTATTGGTGCCATATGCATCTTTAATTGTGGAAAGCTTTGAATCTTAAGCTCAATGTTTTCTTCTTATATTTTCTATATGATACGTAACTTGAGGCATATAAATATATCTCACTTAAATTAGATGAAATAGATACCCCCTGTATAAATGTAGGATTCTTATGGTAGAACTGTGTTTTAAATCTAACCTCACTCAAGCATGTCCATTTGTCCCTCCTTTTATTTCTCCTGTTTTGTATTTAAAAAAATGAATATTCAAGTTCTTCCATATTATCTACATGTAATTATAAAATATATAAGAATTCATAACATATATACAGTATGTAATCACCCTGGTCCTCACAGGCATGTGCCAAGTCTATTAATAATTTATAAGATGGGGAATCCTGGGAAGATGGCGGCACAGGAGGACGCTGGACTCACCACACGTCCTGCTGATCACTTAGATTCCACCTACACCTGCCTAAATAACCCAGAAAACCACCAGAGGATCAGCAGAACGGAGTCTCTGGAGCCAAGTGCAGACGAGAGGCCCAGGAAGAGGGTAGGAAGGGCGGCGAGGTGGTGCATTCTCCACGGACTGGCGGGAGGGAGCCGGGGCAGAGGGGCGGCCCGCTGGCCAAGCAGATCCCCCGAGTCTGACTGGCAAAAGCAGAGGGGCCGGACTGAGTGTGTTCCTACAGCAAGCAGGACTAGACATCTGGAAGGCTGTAAGCTAACAGCTCTGCTCGGAGAACGGGAGGGCTGGAGGACAAGGGGAGGGAGAGTTGTTGAGCCCCCGACAACAGAGCACACCTTGGTGGGGAACAAAGGCGTTCGCCAGCTCCATCTCCCTCGCCCATCCCCCAGCCAAAATCCCAAAGGGAACCAGTTCCTGCCAGGGAACTTGCTTGCAGTGCACAAACACCCAACGCTGTGATTCTGCAGATCCATCCCTCCGGCAGGTCTGACTCCCTCCCGGATCCATCCCTCCAGCAGGTCTGACTCCCTCCCGGTGCCGCAGGGCCCCTCCCAAAGCAGATCTCCAAAGGAAAAGTGAGCTGAGCCTGCCCCACCCCTCCACCATGCACCTTGCCAATCCACCCCAGCTAATACGCCAGATCCCCAGCACCACAAGCCTGGCAGTGTGCAAGTAGCCCAGAAGGGCCACGCCACCCCACAGTGAATCCCGCCCCTAAGAGAGGGGAAGAGAAGGCACACACCAGTCTGACTGTGGCCCCAGCAGTGGGCTGGGGGCAGACATCAGGTCTGACTGCAGCCCCGCCCACCAACCCAAGTTATTCAAGACAGCACAGGGGTAGTGCCCCACAGTCCCGCACCACTCCAGGGACTATCCAGAATGACCAAACAGAAGAATTCCCCACAAAAGAATCTCCAGGAAATAACAACAGCTAATGAACTGATCAAAAATGACTTAAACAATATAATAGAAAGTGAATTTAGAATAATAGTCATAAAATTAATCGCTGGGCTTGAAAACAGTATA